ATTTGAGGAGTATCCTTGTGGCACTTTGACCTCACGTAAACACTCACAAAAGCTTCTCTTTTCTTTCTTTGATAGAGTATGACAAGTTGGAGGTAAGTAAGTGCGTTTTCCAACTGATTGTGGATGTAATTCAGAACGTATACCCATGTCTGCCAAATCTTGTCTTGCTTTTATTCCATCTTTTGTCTTTCCTTTTATGTTAAGCAATGTCCCAATTATACTATCACAAACATTTTTTTCAACATGCATCACATCTATACAGTGTCTAACTTCCAACTTACACCAATAAGGAAGATTGAAGAATATAGACTGTTTCTTCCAAATGTTTTTCTCATTGGATTTCTTTTGGGTCTTTCCAAACACAATATTAATATTTTTCACTTGCTCATATACTTGTTCACCATTGCGTGGCACTGATGCAACCGCATTCTCCTAACATCCATTAAATGTTTTTTTCATTTTACGATATGGATGATTAGCAACTAGAAACTTTCTATGCCTATTGTACGCAGTTTTTTGTCCATGTTTCAATTGGATATAACTTGTGTCTTCTTGACATAAAGGACACGCTAAATGACCTTTCACACTATAACCGCTCAAATTACCATATGCTAGAAAATCATTTATAGTACAAAATAACATTGCACACAACCTGAAATTCACTTCGTGATATGAATCAAATACATCCACTCATGTTTCCCACAACATCTTCAAATCATCAATTAAAGGACTAAGATATACATCTATGTCATTTCCTAGTTGTCGAGGTCCTGAAATCATCATAGATAACATCATATATTTTCTCTTCATGCATAACCAAGGAGGCAAATTGTAAATGATCAACAAAACTGGCCATGAACTATGTTTACTACTTAAATTTCCATAAGGATTCATCCCATCTGTAGCTAATCCAATTCTCAAGTTTCTTGGCTCTGCACCAAATTCTGGAAAGGTTTCATCAATCCTTTTCCATTGTGGAGAATCAGCTGGATGTCGAAGAAGATTGTCACATTTTCTACCATTTGCATGTCATGTCAAGTTTCTTGCATCTTCTTTTATGACAAATAATCTTTTAAACCTAGGTATAATTGGCAAATACCATAACACCTTAGCAGGGGGACCATCTAGTTCTTCCTCACCACTACTTTCCTCAACTTTGTTTTTGAACCTCGACAAACCACATGTTGGACACATCTTTAATTTAGCAAAATCGTTTCTGTACAATATACAATCATTAGGACATGCATGTATCTTCTTGTACTCTAAACTCATTGGACATAATATTTTCTTTGCCTCATAGTTACGAATAGGTAATGTATTATCTTCAGGAAGCATCTCCTTCAACAACTCCAATAATTCGGTGAAACTTTTATCGATCCATCCATTTCTTGCTTTTAAAGTAAACAATTTTAAAGTTGTCGATAATCTTGTAAAACTACATCCTATGTACAATTGTTGCGCAAAATCGGATTTCAAAGAATCATATAGATGTGCTTTCATAAAATTTTCTTCACCAATATCACGTATCATATCCTCAAGATTATCATCCATCCCTTCATCAAAATTGTCCGTAGTTGACACAGCTGGGATGTCTAATATTTCTCCATGCCATGTCCATATTGTATAACTCTTAATAATACCATAAACAAACAAGTGATCACGTATATCCTCAAGTTTATGACGAATTTGATTCAAACAACGAACACATGGACAATAATATGTCCCTTTCATAGCTTTTCCATTTTCACTAGCAAATTTCAAAAATTCCTCAACTCCCTTTTCGTACTCTTCACTAATACGACGTGCATTCATCCAACTTCGATTCATATTATGTTATAAAGTTTCGTCACTCCTAGAGATTTAAAAATTATATGTAAAAAGAAATTAATATACAAACAACAAAGCACGTTCCAACAACAATGGAGTGTGTAAACCGAATGCACTCAAACAAATAAACAAATAATTACATTCCAATAACAATCCAGTGGAGACATTCATACTATAACGTGATTGAGATCCCCAAAAACAATCACGGATTCAATTTAAATATATAGCAATGACATAGAACACTAACCTCGAGTGTAGACGAAAAATGATTTCAAACTCGAATCCAATCGGGGAGAAATATCAAGTTCGTAAAATGACACACAATGTTGATGTTTTCCAGTGTCAAACTGATCAAAAATGGTGTGCAGAGGTAGTTGTTGTCATCGTTCTCGTCGTCGTTCTCAAAAACCCTGGTTGCGCGAGAGGAGGGAGTGGGTCTAGGGGGAAATAAAAGGGACTTTTTACGTCGCGCATCCCAGCACGCGACGTAAAAGAGGCTTTTTACGTCGCGTGCTAGGGTGCGCGACGTAAAAATTGTGTCTCTTAATTACAAAATTGCCACCGCGTTTTATTTACGTCGTATATTTTTACATGCGACGACAATTGGGTGACGTAGAAGCCTTTTTTTGCTCTAGTGCACCGAGTGTCGTAAGTGGTTTTGAATTTGGACAATTGCTTTTGAAGTTTCAACATCTGTCAAAAGTAAATAATAATATATGAGACTTGAGATTGTCTTTTATTCTATAATAAACGGAAGTAGATATAGAGATAACATTTTTTATTACATGAATATGCAGACTTTAACCTCGTTTATGAGTGTTATTTAATGTTTAAGGAAATTCTTGTGGTGGTTTTGCACACACGACACTTGCACAAAAGAGAAGCACATAGAGGTCACAAATTTCTGATTGTAATCAAAGGATCTGGTAAATGAAAGGCCACGACTTGAGTGAGTGAAGATTGAAGCAGAGTCAATTCCATGCAAGAAAATTCTTGAGTGCTATTTTAGTGCTACACCTTAGCCTACCAAACCAAACTCAAATTTGGGTTGACCTTTTTTTCTTTTCTTTTCTTTCTTATTATTGCATTAAAATTAGCCACGAAATGATAGATGAATGTAATAGTGAGTGATTGAGACACGGTTACCACAACTAAATCAACGTGTGTAACAGTAATAGTTTCTCCACCATCAAGTTAACCCTGTCACCGTACGACTAATTAAATTTTATAACCTTTCTTCTCTTATTTTCAAACTTCACCTTTTCACTTCATAATGCAACCCATTTTGTGGTAATAAAAATGGTGGGTAGTAATGGTTCCTATTTGTATGGTTAAAATTAAAACATAACATATTTATAATAATAAAGAAAGTATCAAATAATAATATGATTAATTATTATAGCCATTTTTAGTAGGGATAGTAAAATATATCTATTCTTTTTAATTTTAATTTATTCCATCGTTCACATTGCTTAAAAATAGAATAGGACGAAGATGAGTGACAGATATTAATTTCTGACGTCAAAAGATAGATCAATCAATAGGTTAGCTGCGTAGAGTTATTTTTTCAAAATTTTATTTATTACTTAACATTTTTAATAAAAAAATTTAAAAATTATTATATTTATATATTAAAATATTCAATTATAACCATCATTTTAAATTTAATTATTTAATATTCATAATTTAAATTATAATATTATAATAATATATTTATATATTTTAATAACATAACACCAAAATATAATATTTTTAATTGTAATTTTTTTAATATATATTTTTTAAAAGTGAATTAATAGATAAATCCATTCTATTCTTAATTTATAAGTTTAACGAGTTAAATAGGACACACTCAATTTATCCCCCCATTCCATCAATTTAAGATAGAGTAAACGTTAATTAAAATTTTATATTGAATAAAAATGAAAAAAAATAATAATTTTTTTAATTGAGTTATGTATATTATCTAGAGTTTATAATAACAACAAAATTGTTTTAATGTTTACTCTTCTTTTAACTATTTAAAAAACTAATTTATTTATTTATCTTTTATTTTTTACTTTCCCACTTTTCAAAATATAATCAAAGCAAAATAAAAGGCTTGGGCTGAGTTGAGTGGAAGGACAAACTTGTACTTGTCTTGTGTGCATTATATAGTTTTATATTACTAATTAAAGGTTAACAAGAAAAATATGTATTTAATAACACTTAAATACTTGTAAGAGCGATACTCTATTTAACTAACCCTTGAAAATGTATTCATCCCAAAATTTCTTAGTAAAAATGTATTCAAGAGTTTGTTTTTGTTGGAATCTTTGAATCACATGATTTTGAAGTTGAGGTGTTCCACAAATGTGCATGCACTTAAAAAATACATGGAATATTAAAAGTTTATAGACGGGTATTAGAAACCAATTATGGCAATCACTTAGAATGAATAATTGGGGAATTATGAGAGAAAATAGAGCTTAATATTCCAAGAGCCCATGCATCATTAAATAATTTCTTCACTTTTCTCAAAAGTTATTCCATCTTCACTACCCAACTAATCATCATCTTCCAATTCCCTTATTTCATCATATATTATTATCATCATTATTGTTTTGATAAAAAAATATTCACGTGTATTTTAGATGGCATCAGTGTATAAATTAATATTTTTATTTATATTGTATTTTTTACTCTCAATAAAATTTATTAGGACTTGAATAAAACTTAATAAAAAGACTAATCAATCATTTACAATAGTCGCCATATCATATTTAATATAAGATCATTAATATTGTAACCTTTTTAAGGACTGACATATTCATAATAATTTGTATTCTATAAACTATAATTTAGTGGTAACTTTTTTTATTTTTTATGAGAGGCTTAACTCTTATACTGTTTTTATTAAAATATTAATTACATGTTAAATGAAAATAGTGTATTAACTAATTGAATGAAGGGAAAAAAAAAAAAAATATATATATATATATATATATATATATATATATATATATATATACAAGAAAAAAAAAAGACAAATTAGTTAATTTTTCTATCAATATTTGGTTTGGCCTTAATCTAATTTACGGTAATCTTTATGTAATTTTAGTAAAAACACTAATTTTTAGGATTTAAATATAAGAGAACAGATAACTGAAAATTAGAATGTTATTATTAAGAACATGGGAACCTATATGAGTTGGATTCGGTTAACCTACTGTTCAAAGTTATCACATTTTTTCAACCCAATCCCACTCATACACCACCCGGCTCTGAATCGAAACCGCGACCTTGGGGTTCCGGAGAAGGTAAAGTTTGATTTTGATTATTTTGCTATTATTTATATTTTCCTTACTATTTTGTTTTCTGAAAAATTCTGTAACCCTAGCATCTCAGCTTGGACATCGGAGGAGAAGATAGAGAAAGGGAATGGAGAGTGAAACCTGGAATTGAGTGAGTTGCCACCAACCACTTATTCGCATGGCCACAGTTTGGACACTGCAATTTCGCTCGCTTTCTCTTCGTGTAAGTTCTCAATTTTACTTTATGTACTCACTTCTACATAGACTCGATTGTTTCTGACAATGGTGATTAACGTTCTAACTTTGCAATAAAATGAAATAAAATGTAGCCATGCTCCTTCATTAGTAGCAGTAGCAGTAACGGTATCATCACCGCTAGAAATCGCATTGTTATCAGAAATGGGATCTCCAAATGGCGCTCCCGCACCCAGCAACTAAAAAACGATTCCATCAATTCCATTACCAAATTTCACCATCAACTCGTTCATTCCGTCACTATCCCCTCCTTCCTGGTCCGGCACCCTTTTCATTTTGCACTCATTTTTCATTTATTATTTATTCTTCTTCTTATTACTAATGTTATTATTATTGTTATCTGTAGCTAAATCGAAACGGGGGAACCAATTTTCTGATCTGGATATGTGTTGCGGTTGTGGTTTTGGTTGGAACATTGAAGGTCGTGTTCAGAAAAAAAGAGCGTCCTGGTTCCGTGGCTGATCTAGTAAGACGTGGCCAACTCAGATCTGATAGAAGAGGCATGTATGATTTTTATCCATATCCACTTATTGATACTCTTTTTTGCTTCAACTCATTAATTATTATGCACTTCTACCAAATATGTAACAAACTATAATTAACATACATACAAACACACACACACACATACATTACTACTACTTGGTAAGGTTTGCCTAGTGAGATTCATTTTCCATTTTCCTGCCTAACAAGTAACAATGATGATCCTCCCATTTGTCTATCTGCATTGTTGTATGCATGTTTTCAGTTCAAGGCCTCTCAAGTACGAAGACCCGTTCAATAATCCTTTTGTCAAGCTTGGCAAAAGCAACTCAACTGTTGAGATGTGTGGAAAAGTTTACCGCTTAGCCCCTGTTACACTTACTGACGAGCAGCAGGCTACTCACCAGAGGAGGAGGATGCGTGCATATCAGTGGAAGCGACCCACCATTTTCCTTAGAGAAGGGGACTCAGTCCCTCCGGATGTGGATCCTGATACTGTCAGGTGGATTCCGGATAATCATCCTTTTGCTACCACTGCTACTGATCTGGATGAGGACTTGGCACAGAACAATGTGTATCAAAAGCATGGAGTTCCTTTCCGGATTCAAGCGGAACATGAAGCCCTGCAGAAAAAGCTCGAAGCCCTACAAAATGTAAGCTGTAGTTAGATAAGGAAATTCAACAGCTCCATTATTTTTGTTATAGTTTTAGAATTTATTTTGTAAATGCTATCATCTCTTTATCCTAATTCCTAAGCTTGAGGAGGGGCTGGGGTGGTTAACTTTACCATTCTGGCTTACACTAAGATAGTATTTTTGAAATTCTCCTGTGATTCAACCAATGTCCACTCGATTATTACCATCGCGCAAATGCATTGTAAAACTAATCAAAGAAGAAACTTTCTGATTTTGGTATATTTAGTACTCCCTCCAGTCTGGAATATAAGTAAAAGAAAAAAAAAATGATTCACAATAATTAAGTTAGTAACATTTAAATTAATAATTAAAAATAAACATTTTTTCTGAAACTACTCTTCCTCGAAACTTGATATCAAGAATAGGAGAGAGTTATTGGAAATAAAACTCCAATTAAATCAAGAGCATATTGGAGAGAGTCTTATTAAATAAGATAAATTAGTTGAGTCTGTTTATATTTGAGATTAACATATACGACATCTTTTTTGCTTATATTAAAGGGAGTGTATTGGAATGACATTTGGGTTCAAAAATAGTTTTCTTCATGTGCTGCAAATGGTCAAACCAGGCTTTGTTTCTATCCCATACATAATGAGTTAACATTTTAAGTCTTGGTATTTTCGCTGTGACTCAAATCCTTGATATCAGAAATTGGTATGTATAGACCCACACGTGTGACCTTTTTTAGTGGCTATCTGACTTTGAGTAGCTTTTAGTTTTGACCATTGATATAGTCAAAATTTGTTCACTCATTCTCATATAAAAGTAATCCTCTCACTACACACGGAGATATATTGCTGAAGTGCTTCTACCTAATTTGCAGCACCACTGAAACCTTTTGTATTATTTATGCTTCAGGACCAGAAACTCGATAAACTAGTGATAGATCCTATCAATGCTAAAGAATTTGAGAGGCCATTCAACTCCCACACCAGATTAAATGATCAAGCAGAGAAGAGCGCTGTAAACAATCAGGTGAGTGGTCCTACCAATGCCAAACAATCACACACGCATGCACTCATGACGAAAGTGCATTGCATTATTTGGTGCACCACTGAATCCTCTTGTATTATTTATGCTACAGGAGCAAAAAATCAGTAAACTAGTAATAGATCCTATCAATGCCAAAGAAAATGAGAGGCCATTCAACTCCCATACCAGATCAAATGACCAAGCAGAGAAGGGCTCTGTAAACAATGAAATGAGTGAATCTGAATCCCCTAAAATAGATAGTGGGCCAAATCACTTTGGAAGTGCATCATCGGAAGATCCAACTCTTTAGGTTCTTTGGTACAGCTTTTACCTTTATTGATCCATGTTAAAAGTGCAATGAGGCGGCCATATAGATCACCAATAACACTTGAAATGTGGATTTGAATTTACCCAAAAATTTTGTAATATTATTCGTCTTGGAGGCTTAGAACTTTCTAATTGTACAGGTGAAGACTGTAAATATATGATTTGATTGCTGCGCATTGTCAAGTTACACTGCTACTCAGATTTCACCGAACAGGACTTTTTTGTGGGGAACTTTACACTCTCTCGACAGTCCCCAAAACTAGTTAATTCGTAGTGCAATTAGTTGTACATAAAAATCATTTAGAGTTTCTGGTTCTGCAACCTGTTAATTGGCTAACAAATTAGCCAGGAAGACGATGAAGAACGAAAACAGTTTTTCATTGTATGTAGAAGCGCAGATATACCTAATAAATTGTGCTTTCAGTCTAGAAGTCGTAATAACTGAGGAATTTCCTTTGAAGTGGCTACTTCCTATAGATGGCAATTTTCAACAAATTTATGTCTTGCGGATATCAGCATCTGAATTTACAAAACATTTCAATCAATATATATTTATACATTATAATTTTATTAATACTTATTAAAGTAAATTGAAAAAAAAACTAATTTTAACAAATTTCATTGATACTTAAATTAGTTAAAAGAAGAATATCTCTTACACGTAGTCTAGCATGTTTGCATGAAATTGATATAGAAAATTATAATTCGTAATTTTAAAGATGATTTTTTGGATTATTTTAAAGTTGAAAGATGATTTCGATGTATCAAGACTTTTTTTCAGTTAAAATAATTAATAAGAATTACAGTTTCAAAATAATAATTATTGAATGAGTTATTTCGAGATTTTTTTTTCGAACTGCGTGATTTTTTAGGTGAAATTATCTTAAATTTTGAAATATTTTTCCAATTCTTATTTTTTTATACAAATTTCTTTACTCATTTAATTTTTAATGAGAAAATAAATTTCGTTCTAAAGATGCATAATTGAATTCTTCAATCTATAATTCCCACACCAGTATTATTATTGTTATTAATTTCTGCCGTCATGGGTTCGTATAGTCATCCTCACCAATTCCCACACTTATTGTTATTGTGTTGTTATCAGAACATTAAGTTATTTGTAGAATTATTCTTATTACCACTCCCTGTTGCGACTGTAGCTATCATCAATCCATCACCAATAACTATGCTGCCACATCGTATTATTTATATATTTCAAATTCTAACGTAACTTCACTCGTAATAATCCTAATTAAAGGTGTCTAACATACAATTGAAATAAGTTGAAATTATAGTTGTTCTTTTTCATTTTGTCTACAATCCAAATATAAATGACATGCTCTAAACTAATTCCAATTTTGATAACATTAGAATTGGAAATTCTAAATTGCATTTTAATGTCATGCTTCAAATTGATATTTATAGAAGTTGTCTTTACGAATTCAAATTATACTTGTATTTCGTGAACGCGGTTCATTGTTTCTACTATATTTTTACCGTGTTTTAAAGAATTTTAAAAATGATATTTTTATAATTTATTACACTATATTTCATCATTCAATAGTCATATCTTTAAAGTTCGTTGTAGCCACATAAGTTACCTTTCGAAAAGTTCGTACTGCTGAAGTCAGTAAGAATATTAAATTGAGTATGAGAATTTCCCAAAAGTTGGGAAAGTCAGATAAATTAGTACAAGTGGAAATAAAGTTGCAGCACTTCCTCTATTGTCCACACCCAACCGGCATAAGTGGAAACAGCGTACATGATTTGTTGGAAAGTTTTCTCATTATAACAAACAAATATATTTTTTTTTTAAATCTTGTTAACCAGGATTTAAAAAATACTGATTAAAAATAATATGAAAGTGTTACACTTTGAGCCAATTAGAATTCGTCCTAAACATGAATTTTAAATAGTTTTTTGAAAAACTCAACGACTTAAATCCGATATTATCCAGACAATATATTTATTATTTATTTTTCTGTCTTGACGATCCGTCCTTCTCTTCTTTTTCTTGACAACGAAGAGTGATTCTCTTTGTTATACAAAATTTTCAATGAAGAGATTGAGTGAATACAACTTGTCAGGAAAGAAAAGCGAAAAACGACCAAAATACGAGAAGAAAAAGCAGAGTAAAACTGGGAATTGTCCAGTATACAGTGGCCACTGGGACAATAATGGGCATTAATATCAAAGGCGACGCGACACTAAATCTCTTTACCACATTAATGAGTCAAATTTGGAGCATCAAGCCAACAGAGTTTGGTCACTTGGCCAACGATAATTGTTTAATTGATTGTTGGCAAGGGCAAAATAATGGCACATCAACAAAATCTGGTCTAAAACCACTGTATTTATTGGACTGCACCATGGTACCTCTCTTACTTTTTTTTCATGGCAAACTCTTAAATTCTCATCGCGAACAATGCAAACTTTGCATCAAAAGCCTAATGTGGATAATTCTAAAATGCAAAATTATATATTTGTGAAAGAATAATACATCCATATCAATATGTTTGAGCATATCCTCCTCCTCCAACAAATATACTTAATGGCAAACAAAATCTATAAAGATGTGATAGGGTGGGTTTTGAAGTTACTGAGTATATAACAATTTGTGTTACTCATTCTTGGCTGTAGCAGCTTGCCTTGCACCAACAGAAAAGAATTCAGAGATGACTTCAAGGGGCATGCCCTTTGTTTCTGGAACCTTCAGAAACACAAATATCCAGGAGATGAAGCAAACGACGGCATAAATGGCGAAGACACCACCAAGTCCTAAAGAGCTGAGCATCACAGGCAGCGAGTATGTGATAATGATGTCTCCAATCCAGAACACTAAGGCACATATAGCAATGCAGAGGCCACGCACTCTAGTGGGGAAAATCTCTGAGCAAAGGATGTTTGGAATTGGTCCGTAACCCATCACAAAGCAGCAGAAATAAACCACAACGCATGTAGTTGAGATTGCAGCATGGGCCACGTTGCCAAAATCTACTAGACTTCCAATCACCAAAATAATCAGTGACACAATCAGCACGGGAATTGTAGTAAGTAGCAACTGCCTGAAAATGACTGAGTATCTTAATGACCGTAAATCAAGATGAACAGAAGAAAATACTAAAATATGTTGTGTTTTGAAAGAGGATAAAATTTCTGCAAATTGTTTCAAGTAACCTTTAGAATGCACGTGTCTGGAATCTACTAGTGGTCTTACCTTTTGACTAATCTTTCAAGAAATCGAATGAAACAATTTTTAAGGTTAAATTTGTGAGGTCCAGAGAGTTAGTTACATAGTCGGAACACACTAAATTCTACCGGAGTTCACTTTCCTTGGTAATTTTGCTTTAACTTGTGTTGTACAATATATACACACCTCAAGAGACCAACGATAGATTCTATTTTTGTTCCTCATCGATCAAATCGATGTCATTAAATTAATGAGGAACCAATCCAGTTCAGTACGAATAAAAACCTCACAAAATGCATGCAACGGAAGAGATCCCCGAATAAAGGCAACCAAAAAATAGACAGGGATACATCGATAAAACTATAGACCAGGGAAAAAACAGAAAGCGCACCTTCTTCCTGAAACATCCATGAGCTTCATGGCCAAGGCTATACAAGGAAGCATCAAGAAGGTTGTGAAAGCACTGATAAGGAATGATGCAGATGCTGAGCCAATGCCAATATCTGCAAGAAGAACTTCAACACCGGCCTCTTCGAGGATTTGAGGTGTGTAGTATAGAACCCCATTTATCCCTGAAAACTGTACAAACATGCAGAATTAGGTGTCAGCCATTGATAAGAAAACAAAAACCAATAAATTGATTTTGTGAACTGAAGAAACTACAAATTCAGCAAGGAATGATAAGGAGGTTATACACACTCTTGTAACTATGAATACTAGAAGAAAAGAACAAGGAAGAATTCTAAGTCACTTATACTCCAGTCCGGTTGATCTCATGGTTTCAGTTAATATTTTACCACATCTGAATTTTTTTAACACGAACACCATTATTAAAGCTATTTTGAAATGTTCTTTGTAACTTACTAGGGAATGGAAAACAGTACTACAAGAGCAGTAACATCGCATTTAAATGCGAGAACAATAAACACTAGGTAAAAACGTTAGCAGACTTCAAAGAAGAAGGTTTATGTAAGGTTTTGGACTGCTTAGGTTGAAGTAGTGCTATTGAAATCCTCTGCTTCGCAACATTTCCCACCTGACCCCAACCCAAAATAAAAAGAGTAAAAAGAAGGAAGGAAAGCAACAGAAAGTGTAAACGAGCATGGAGATTATGAGTAGGAAATGTTGAACATTCAAGGACTTGATGTTGCAAATAATGATCATGAAGAATGTTGATTTTGATGATGATCCAAGAGCTTAAAGACTTAGAGTATTGAAGATTGAAGATTGATGATTTTTGTATTGTAATAACTTTGTTTTAGTTTGATTGAGTCTGTAATTATAGAGTCTAAGATAGCCGGTACATAGTCTATAACTTAGAAGCTTCAAAATGCTCAAATTTATCATGCAGGCTCGGCTTTAATCAATTATATAGGGAAATAATCGATTAAAACAGTGAGAAAACCATTTTCAGCATATACTCACTGTTTTAATCGATTAAAACATCAAAATAATCGATTAAAAGGTCAAATAATCGATTATTTCACCAAATAATCGATTAAACCAGAGAGGATTGGGTTCTGCGTATTTGGTTTCTGTTTTAATCGATTAAAACTCCATTTAATCGATTATTTCAACTGCTTTTTCAAATTAAATTTCAAATTAACCCCATTTTCGAAAACCCAATTACCAAGAACCCTAGTTTCGAAATTCCCAATTCCTAAACCCTAATTTCCCTACTTAAACTCGCTTTGGCACTCGTAAAGTAAGAACAACTCTTTCCATACAAAAGTTAAGTGTCGTGAGTGCCGTAGAACTGCTTGTTGCAAGGAAAGGGGGCTTTCGGAACCCGGTGTGAGGCTAGAAGCGATAAGAATCACTAAGTGGAGTTCTTAGTGGATTGTGTGTCAGTGCCGTCTCCGGGGAAAGTCGTTCTTCTGGGCTTTTGGAAACCTGGTGTGAGGATCACTAAGTGGAGTTCTTAGTGGATCGTGTGTCAGTGCCGTCTCTAGGGAAAGTCGTTGATCATCTCTTGTGGATTTCAAGAGAGGTGTATTCTTTACTTTATCTCTTTGATTTGTAATCTGCTTTTAACAATTTGTTCTTAGTGACAGCGTTAATCCTCTTTTGAGTGATTAGCAACTCGGACGTAGGGTCTTTTGATCCGAACCAAGCATAAACCTACCGTGTAATCTTCTCTACTCTTCTCTATTTACATTTACGCAGCTTTTAATCGGTAAAATTTGGGGAAAATTTTGAAAACCTAATTTTTATTAAGAAACCAATTCACCCCCTCTTGGTTTTTGTCCGACCACGCGAACATCTCACTGCGCGATTCTAACAAGTGGTATCGAGCTTGCTTTGATAGTCATTCAAATATTTTCGAAAATGGCCTGACAAAATCAAACTTTTGCCGAAGGTGCGTCTATCAACAGCACTCCCACTTTTTGCGGGTCAAAATTATCCTTTTTGGAAAGTACGTATGCAAATATTTTTAGAGTCTCGTTGATAGAGGTGTTTGGGACGCAATTTTAAACGGTCCATTTGTTCCTAAAATTACGGAGAACTGTGTTGACGTTCTTAAACCTATTTCTAGATGGACTCGCCGACGAAAGTCGAAAAGCACAATTTGATGTTAGGGCTAGAAACATTATTTCATCTCGCTCTAACCCTTGATGAGTTTTATAGAATTTCAGCTTGTAAAAGTGCACAGGAAATGTGGGAAATGCTAAGGGTGACCCACGAAGGAACCGACGACGTCAAAAGAGCACGTAAAAATTCTCTAATTCAAGAGTACGAAATGTTCCGGATGCAACCAAGCGAAACGATATTTGACGTACGTAAACGTTTCACTCATATCGTGAACCATCTCACCTGGACTAGGTAAAATTTTTGACGTTGATGAATTAAATGTTAAAATTTTGAAATCTCTCGGATAGGAAATGGCAACCAAAGGTGACGGCCATCTCGGAGTCACAAAATCTTGCCACTATGTCTATGGCGGCGTTATTTGGAAAGCTTAGGGAGCATGAACTTGACCTTGGAAGACTAAATGAGGAAGAGGGTCAATATCAAAAGAAGAACCTAGCTTTCAAGACCGAGATTTCAAAAAGCAAAAATAATAAAGAAGAAGAAGAAGACTCCGAAATTGATGAAGAAGAGATGAGTCTTTTTATAAAGAAGTTCACCAAGATGATGAAAGCAAAAGGAAGACAACCTTTCAAAGGTAAGGGAAAGGTAAAAGAAAATTCTTCCGTTAATATAAAATGCTTTGGTTGTGGTGAAGCAGTGGCATATGAAGACCGAATGCCCAAACAAGAAAAATGATGAACACAAGGGCAAAAAGCAATTCAAGAAGAAAACATATATTGCTTGGGATGACAAGTGATTCAAATTCGAATCAAGCGACTCGTAAATTGAAGCAAACATTTGCTTGATGGCAAATAACAACGTTTATTCGGATTATGAGGTTAGTGATTCCGATTCATCCTCTAATGAAGAAAATGACCATGATGAATTGCAAAATGCTTATAATGAGTTATTTACCGCATTTATGGATATGAAAAAGGAATATAAAGTTGTAAAGAAGAATCTAAGAAAATCTGAAAAGGAAAATGAGTCCTTAAAATTGAAAATTGCATGCTTAGAAGAAGAGGAGGTAGCTAATATTAAAAGTATATGCTTAGATGAGAATGAGGACTTAGCATGTGCAAAATGTAAAGAGCATGAATATGATATAGATATTCTTAATCATTTGCTTGACAAAGCCGAAAAAGAAATTGATGATCTTAAGAAGAATGAAATGGTATTTGCTCAAAATAATGAAAATCATAGAGCTTCTTTGAAAAAGAGTAAAACTAAAAGGAAAAGAGTATGGGTAAAAAAAGGAACTAGAGCATGTAATGTTAATAATGTATCTTGTTCTAAAACTACTTCAAATGCATGCTTCTATTGTATGAAACAAGGTCACACTTCAAATAAGTGTAAAATTAAACATTTTGGAGTTCCTAAAGGAAAATATGTTTGGGTTCCTATAGTTAAATGAATTGTTTGTCTCTTTTATTTATTCAAAGAAAATGGATCATTTTGTATGTTTTAAACGTAATGCTTAGGTAAAATCATTTCATCTTTTCTATTGCATGAAGGTTCTTCACTTAAAGATTTTTGCAAAATGCATCTAAAATTGTTTTAAACAACTAAAAACATAGTATTTTTACAAAAGCTTTCTTAAACATGTTTTTAACTCGATGCAGCTTTTGAAAGAACCAAATAAAATCACTTAGATTGTTCAAAGAAGTGTTTTTACAGCATTTTAATCGATACAACTGGTTTTTAATCGATTAAAACCATTTAGAACTCATGTTGACCGATCAGATTTTTTATTATGACCGGTCAGAAACGTTTTCAATCGATTAAAACACGTTTCAATCGATTAAAATCACTTAAAGGGTCAGAATGATCGATCAGAATCAAATTATAAGCGGTCAGAAACATTTTCAATCGATTAAAACACGTTTCAATTGATTAAAATCATTTAAAGGGTCAGGATGACCGATAAGATTTTTATTATGACCGGTCAGAATCAGTTATGATCGATCAGAATTTAGTTATGACCGATCAAAACTCATTTTAATCGATTAAAATCTCAATTCAATCGATTGAAACAACTTAAAGTTTTTCTCCAGCATTTTAATCGATTAAAAACTCGTTTCAATCGATTAAAACAACTTAAAAAATGTTTCTACACTGCGTTTAAATCGATTAAAAGACGTTTTAACATATTAAAACTGCATTTTTAACAGATTAAAAAAAATCTTTTAACAGATTAATTAAACCAGCAGATTAATTAAAAGAAGTTTTGCAGTATTTAAATAGATTGTTATGTCTCTAACCCCAAGGACCCAAAAGTTGTGGGGACCTAAGTTTATATGTTCTTGTTTTGTAGGAAACTTCCAAATCAAAGAAGTCTATGTGGTATCTTGATAGTGGATGCTCAAAACATATGACTCGGAGATAAAACGAAATTTGTAAGTTTCAAAGCCAAAGAACAAGGATATGTGACTTATGGGGATAACAACAAAGGGAAGATTCTCGAATTGGAAACATAGGTGGTGCAAACACATTGGAGATTAAGGATGTGCTTCTTGTTGATGGATTAAAACATAACCTTCTTAGCATAAGCCAATTGTGTGACAAAGGATTCAAGGTAACTTTTGAAAGCAAATTTTGCACCATACATTTAGTAGATTCCAAAAAGTAGAATTAAAAGGCATTAGGCATAACAACATATATTGGATTGATTTGGATTGTTTACATGAGTCTAGCATAACATGTTTAGTTGCTAAGGAAGAGAACCCTTGGTTATGGCATAAAAGAGCGGCTCATATAAATATGCATCACTTGAATAAATTGATATCAAAAGACTTAGTTATTGGATTGCCTAAGTTAAAATTTGAAAAAGATAGATTGTGTGATGCATGCCAAAAAGGTAAACAAGTAAAATCATCTTTTAAATCAAAGAATGTGATTTCCACTTCAAAACCCCTAGAATTATTACATTTAGATTTATTTGGACCTTCTAGGATAAAAAGCTTTGGTGGAAATTATTATGGACTTGTAATTGTTGATGATTACTCTAGGTACACTTGGACATTTTTCTTAACTACAAAAAGTGAAGCTTTTAAGGTCTTTAGGAAATTTGCAAAACAAATACAAAATGAGAAAGACCTAAGAATTAAAGTTTTAAGAAGTGACCATGGTGGTGAGTTTCAAAATGAAAAGTTTGAAAATTATTGTGAGGAAAATGGTATATTACATAACTTTTCTGCTCCTAGGACTCCCCAACAAAATGGTGTAGTTGAGAGGAAAAATAGATCATTAGAGGAACTTGCAAGAACTATGTTAAATGAATCTAATGTTCCTAAATATTTTTGGGCTGATGTCGTTAGTACGGCATGTTATGTGTTAAATAGAATGCTCATTAGGTCAATTATTAAATCTACTCCATATGAATTGTTTAATGGTAGAAAACCTAATGTTGCACATTTAAAGATTTTTGGATGTAAATGTTTTGTGCTGAATAATGGAAAGGACAATCTAGGAAAATTCGATTCAAAAGCCGATGAGGGCATTTTTCTAGGTTATTCTTTAACTAGCAAGGCATATAGAGTGTTTAATAGGAGAACTTTGAATATAGAAGAATCTATACATGTTACCTTTGATGAGATTGTAGACCTTGGGGGAAATCCTCTTGAGTCAAATAAAAGACTTGCAGGTGATGATGAATATATAAGAGAGGCCCTTGATGAATTATACTTGGAAGATAATGTGCCTTCTCAAACTCCTCAATTAGCAAAAGAATGGCAATCACCTAAAGGACTCTCAATGGACAATATCATAGGTGACATCTCAAAAGGGGTAAGAACTAGAAATATGAATAATTTTTGTATGTCGGTTGCTTTTGTGTCACAGATTGAACCTAAAAACGTTGAGGAAGCACTTCAAGATGATCAATAGTGCATAGCCATGCAAGAAGAACTTAACCAATTTGAAAGGAATCAAGTCTGGGAATTAATCCCAAGAGAAGAGTCACATCAAGTTATTGGAACTAAATGGGTATTCAGAAATAAGCTTGATGAAGATGGTAATATTACAAAGAATAAAGCCAGACTTGTTGCAAAAGGCTATTGTCAGGAGGAAGGTATAGATTATGATGAAACTTATGCTCCTGTGGCCAGGTTAGAGGCTATACGCCTACTTCTTGCTTATGCATCTATGATGAAATTTAAATTATATCAAATGGATGTTAAGAGTGCATTTTTAAATGGTTTTATCAAAGAAGAAGTGTATGTAGAGCAACCCCCTGGATTTGAAGATTTTAATAATCCTAATCATATTTTCAAATTGAAGAAAGCATTATATGGATTAAAACAAGCTCCTAGATCTTGGTATGAAAGATTAAGTAGTTTCCTAATTGCAAATGATTTTTCAAGAGGAAAAATTGATTCTACACTGTTTATTAAGAAAGTTAAAGAACATATCTTATTGGTCCAGGTATACGTTGATGATATTATTTTTGGATCAACTGATAATTCTTTGTGTGTAGAATTTGCTAAGATTATGCAGGGAGAGTTTGAAATGTCTATGATGGGAGAATTAACATTCTTCCTTGGACTTCAAATCAAGCAACTTAAAGATGGCACTTTCATCTCTCAAACCAAATACTGCAAAGAGATTCTCAAAAAGTTTGGTATGGACACCTCAAAGGAAGCTAACACACCCATGGGAACTTCATGCTATCTAGACAAGGATGAATCGAGTTTGGAAGTTAATCAAACTATGTATAGAGGTATGATAGGATCTCTGTTATATCTTCATCGCAAGCGGACTGATATTATGCATTCTGTCTGTGTGTGTGCTAGATTTCAGGCTTGTCCTAAAGAATCTCATCTAATTGCAGTAAAACATATTTTAAGATATTTAAAAGGAACTACTGGGTTTGGCTTGTGGTATCCGTCTGATGCTTGTATTAGTTTATTAGGATATTCTGATGCTGATTATGGTGGATGTAAAATTGATAGGAAAAGCACTAGTGGGACATGTCATTTGTTAGGTTCATCCTTAATATCATGGCATTCTAAAAAACAAGCATGTGTAGCTTTATCTACCACTGAAGCTGAATATATTGCGTACTGGTAGTTGTTGTGCTCAAATTTTGTGGATGAAACAACAGTTAGAGGATTATAGTATATATTTAAATGACATACCCTTAATGTGTGATAATACGAGTGCAATTAATCTAACTAAGAATCCAGTAATGCACTCTAGGACTAAACATATTGAGATTAGACATCACTTTTTAAGAGATCATATCAGCAAAGGAATCTGTAAGATAGAGTATGTAGACACTAAACATCAATTAGCAGATATATTTACTAAGCCTCTACCAAAGGATAGATTATATGATCTTAGAAGAGACTTAGGGATATTAGAAATAGCTTAAATTCTGCTTAATTTGACTATTTTTGGATGATTGTTATGTTAAAATTCGTGGTGAAGGATATTCATAGGTTATAATGTGTAAAAACCTTAAAAACTTGATATAGCCTCTGGAATAATCGATTACTGCAAGTAATAATCGATTATTTTTCATCAAAACGTCCAAAACAGAGAATTCTCCTCTGGAATAGATTATTTCGTGAAATAATCGATTAAATGCCTCTGATAAGGATAGTGCAGAATTTTAGATTTTATTTTGTTAATGTCTTTATACTGTAATGAATGATTATGAAATAAAATTTGATGTTTCTTTCATGCTATGATTGAGGGGGAGCTTTCTCTCACTTATGCATATTTTGAGGGGGAGCTCTTATGATTGATGTTGCAGAGTTCTTTTTGATTATAATCAAAATAGGGGGAGAAAAATTTAAAGCCTATGATTCAATTTTAAATTTTATCTGGTATGGTTAATGTGTTTGTTAGTATGACAGATAAAACAGGTTATTACAAGGGCTTTAAAAGATAATTTTGATCATCATCAAAAAGGGGAGATTGTTGAACATTCAAGGACTTGATGTTGCAAATATTGATCATGAAGAATGTTGATTTTGATGATGATCCAAGAGCTTAAAGACTTAGAGTATTGAAGATTGAAGATTGATGATTTCTGTATTGTAATAACTCGTTTTAGTTTGATTGAGTCTCGTAATTATAGAGTCTAAGATAGCCGGTACATAGTCTGTAACTTAGAAGCTTCAAAATGCTCAAATTTATCATGCAGGCTCGGCTTTAATCGATTATATAGGGAAATAATCGATTAAAACAGTGAGAAAACCATTTTCAAGCATATACTCACTGTTTTAATCGATTAAAACATCAAAATAATCGATTAAAAGGTCAAATAATCGATTATTTCACCAAATAATCGATTAAACCGGAGAGGATTGGGTTCTGCGTATTTGGCTCTGTTTTAATCGATTAAAACTCCATTTAATCGATTATTTCAGTCTGTTTTTCAAATTAAATTTCAAATTAACCCCATTTTCGAAAACCTAATTACCAAGAACCCTAGTTTCGAAATTCCCAATTCCTAAACCCTAATTTCCCTACTTAAACTCTGCTTTGGCACTCAGAAAGTAAGAACAACTCTTTCCATACAAAAGTTAAGTGCTCGTGAGTGCCGAGAACTGTTTGTTGCAAGGAAAGGGGGCTTTCGGAACCTGGTGTGAGGCTAGAAGCGATAAGAATCACTAAGTGGAGTTCTTAGTGGATTGTGTGTCTGTGCCGTCTCGGGAAAAGCTGTTCTTCGGGGCTTTTGGAAACCTGGTGTGAGGCTAGAAGCGATAAGAATCACTAAGTGGAGTTCTTAGTGGATTGTGTGTCTGTGCCGTCTCCGTGGAAAGTCGTTGATCATCTCTTGTGGATTTCAAGAGAGGTGTATTCTTTACTTTATCTCTTTGATTTGTAATCTGTTTTAACAATTTGTTCTTAGTGACAGCGTTAATCCTCTTTTGAGTGATTAGCAACTGGACGTAGGGTCTTTTGATCCGAACCAGTATAAACCTACTGTGTAATCTTCTCTACTCTTCTCTATTTACATTTACGCAGTTTTTAATCGGTAAAATTTGGGGAAAATTTTGAAAACCTAATTTTTATTAAGAAACCAATTCACCCCCCCTCTTGGTTTTTGTCCGACCACGCGAACATTCCGCTGCGCGATTCTAACAGGAAAGAATCTAAATACCACCTTTTTATCGTTATAATATGCAAGGCCGGTGGAGAAAAAAATAACGAATAGTAACCAAACATTACCTGTTGAAGTATTTGTATCCCAATGCCAACAATCAATGCATGCTTAACCCCTGGTTCAAGAAGAGCTTTCCAACTTGGCCCCTTTGAAGCTGTCTCAGATGGGTGTACCATTGCAGGACCAACTGGATGTCCATCGATAAGCTCCTTGGAGTAAAGAGCAGGTTGGCTAACCAAGGCAGCAGCCTGGACAAATTCACCTTCACCAGGAATTGAAACAATGGATCCACGACGAGATGCAGAAACTCCCTCCTCATGTAAATAAATCCTTTTAAACTCTCCTTGCTTTTTCCCCTCCTCACCTTTATCAGTCCATTTCCATGCCAGCTGCCAGCCACCACCAATGCCTGTACTACCAACTTGCTCTGCTGATCCTTGCATAAGACTACTGTGACGCCTCATGCTGCTCAGAATACTGCCATGGGAAGGAGGAGGAGGCATGTCTTTTTCAAGGCTTGTTGTTTGACGTGAGATTAAAGGACTGTGCAAATTATCATCAGAGTCCCCGCCACCAGCATCTGACATGTAGTCCTCACCTTCCCTTTGTAAGCTCTCTTCATCCCACTGTTCATTTTTAACATGCGGCTCAGCAGTGCTGAACATGCTTCCAAAATTTGGAAACAAAGTGCTTCGCATGCTTCCAGTTCCTGCCTCAGGGAGCTTCTCATGAATGCTACCAAACAGTGTCACCAGAGGATCCATGAGGGGCATGCTTTGATTGATGATGCTTCCATGGCGTGATGCAAGGCCAATAGAACTCTGTCCGGTGACAGGTTTTGCTAACCAAGAGAGGCCTGCTTGGGATCCATATAATCGAATTTTATCTTTCTCTGATGCTTGTTCCCGACCATCAGCCACCTCTTCAGCAGGGCCAATTATGTACTCTTCTATAGATGTATCACCTCCGATCCCGAGACCTTCAACCAGCAATGCCATCTCGCCTGCGTGAATTATAAATTCATAAAATCATTCATCGTAGCATTGAAAATTTTCAATACGGGCTGAGAATCACAAACTAATTAATGCAATGAAAAGTTCAAAACGATAGTAATGTACACAACCTAGTATTTACATTGATGCTCTATAATGTGTACGGTATCATTTTGAGTTCAGTACTTATCATACAAAGAACCTTTTTTTTTTTTCAGTGAAAATTTGCAGTTTCCTTAAACCTTAAAAGAAGCCATGCTTTTGATACATATAATGTTGTTAGCATCACCAAAAAAAAAATAAAAAAAATACAGAAAGGCAGAATCCCCTCCTAAAACCCTGAAGCTAATCCACACTATAGAGGCATGTAACAAGTATGGCATCTGAAGCAGAGGACAATAACACACAAAATATAGACACGTGCTCACTATTCCTTGCAGATCCGTTTACTTTGTATAGACACTACTTGGCAACATGACTAAAAACGTAAGATACCTTCGATTTCTCACATTGCTTGAAAACAAAAAAATCCAGTGGTTTCAAAAGAGTTACCAACCACAATTACGGTTGCAGCATCAAGTATGGTATTGCATCAGCCGCATTTATTGATAAAATTCCACAGTATCAAAAACCGCAACAAAATGGCAACAGAAACTCTAATTTAAATCATTGCACCTGTGCTCCTGGAGAGAAACCCCATCCCTCTGTTAATATGTACGAGCGAAAATTTAGGAAGAGATTAGATGCAGTAAGTAGTCAACGGGGGACGGCAGGAAGGAGATATGCAACTATGTAGCAATTAGTTAGGTCCCCAAAAATCTGAAGATGGTATAGTAGTGTAGTTCAATAAAAACTGTTAAAAGGTTTAAGTTGCAGGTACAGTTGCAATTTTTTTTACAATTGTAGAAAATTAAAGACAAATGTGGCCACAATTGTAGTCAAACGGGGTCCAAATACTTATTGTGGCGGCAAAGCTGTGATTGTAGACCGTCATTTGAAAACATTGATCATGACATTACAACAGATTAAGATCGAGAAAAATCATAACTCGTGATTTCGTGTAAGACTTGGCATTTGCCTGAAATATACAAAGCAAGATTCCCAAATTACAGTAACCAGATAGATAGCACCCTTATTCGAAAAGTTGATAAAAATGCTTTGGAAAATAATTTAATACCTGATACATCCTCTCTTCCGCGCAATCTTTGGAGTACCTTTTTAGCCTGGAGCATCTTTCCTTTGCTGACCAGCCACCGAGGAGACTCAGGCAAGAAAAAAATGGTCAGTGCAAAATAGAGGAGCGAAGGAATAGACAGAACCCCAAGCATGAGTCTCCAGCTAGGCGACGGAGTCAATGACATTCCAAAAACCATACAGTAAGACAAAAACATGCCTCCAGAACCACTGAACTGAGGAAGCGTATTCAAAGACCCCCTTATTTCAGACGGTGCTGTTTCAGATATATAGACAGGGACAAGAGTCACAGCAAGGCCAATCCCAAATCCATCAAGCAACCTCGCTAAGCACAACACATACACATTAGGGGACCACAGCATCACCAAACCACCCAAGAAATAGAGCACAGATGAGATTATCAACATGGGTCGCCGACCAAGCCAATCCGATATAGGGCCAGAGCATGTGGTGATTACCGTCGCCCCGATCAGGGACATGGCCACCACAAGCCCTTCCATAGTTGTTTCCAACGCAAGGTCTTTCTTAATGTAAACAATAGCCCCTGCACAACAAGAATCAGTAATCTGCTAAGAAATTTTTATCGTAGACATCGAAAATTGAATGAGAAGAACCAATTGATAGCTAAAGTTGGAACCACCAGAGCGGAAACGATGTCAGATTAGAATAACATAAACATGCATCTAATTTATCTTATGGAGCGAGGTTAGTTGCAGTTGTTTATATGTGTTGTCTGATTCAGATTGAAGTTTCACATCTTTAATCGCCATAATGAAATTTTATATAAAAAGTCAAAATGGATAATCCAGGTAAAACTTCAATTCCAGCAGAAGAACAACACTAAAAGTACGGATATAACTGGATAGAAATTTCGTGCATGATTTATAACGATTTTTTATAGACTGAAACAGAAGTCATTTTTTGAAAAAAGGATCCATAAAAAGTGGTAATTAGTAGTTACAGAATGAAGAAACGGAAAAGAAGGAGTAGGAATTGGAATCATACCGGCGATGGTAGCATTATCCCATCCCTGGAGAAAATTGCCGATGGAAGCGGCAATAGCGACGAGAACAGCACCTTTCATTAGCGCGAGACGAGGAAGCAACGTGCAAGGGACCTGTTAAACAAGAAGCAAGAATCACGCAGCGCAAAGAAAAAAATAAAACGGCCTTGTCTCTTTATCGAATCAATCAATGAAGGAAGCAAGAAATAAAAGGGAAGAGTGAGGAGTGAGTGAGTGAGTGGTGATAGTTAGTTGGGATTGAGGTTGACGGAATATCTATAATTGAGTTGGTTTGGTTGGGTGAAAGCGAGAAGCAATTAAAGTATCCAAAAATTTCAGATCGCTATTGCCTTTCCTCACTAACCAGTCGCCACTCTCACTCCCTCACTCTCTCACTCACTCACCACAAAAGAGGGTTTCTTCGTATTGGCTGCGACGGATAGAGAGAATCACGTAATAAGAATCATAATAATAATAACCAACTAACGAATCACTTCTCTGGCTAACTCTCTGTATTTGAAAACACCTTCAAATGATGAAGATGATGATGACGGTAAAAGAGGGAGGTAATAAGAATGCGAATCAAGAGTGTGAAGTGGATGGTGGGAGTTGTGCGGGGGTGATTGATAGATGGAATCTGGTGTGTTGTGTTAATGAGGACAAAAAGGGGTCCAGCGAGTGCCAGATCATTCACCCAATTATGAATAAACGGTGATGCACCATTCCACACCCTCCACCACACCACACCACAAAACAACCGTGATCCCTCACCCAACTCTTTCTCCAATCATCTATAAATATTATCTTATTTTACATCACACTTATAATTAATCTTCAAATTCACTCCGATTCGTCTTTGTGAATTCTGCTACCTATTGTTTGCATATCAAAATAGTCAAAACCTTCAACTATCCGCGTTCCGCACCCATTTCCCACCTTTTTCTCTATTTTGTATATTCTTTTTTTTTTTTTTTTTTTTGCTGTTGGTATGGCATAATCGAACGGACAAAATTTGCTTTTCTATTTTCTTTGCTCTTTTATATTTATTTTTTCTTGTACAATTTCCTTTTACGTTTCCATAATCATAATTTCATTTGTCATAAAACAAAACGATCATCATTTGAGTTGTCATAAAACAAAACAATCATAAAATAATTAATTTTGGCCAATAACAATTAATTTGTATTTTTCATTTTCCTTGTTTGAGGTGAAAGACAGTGGAGAGGATGGAAAGAAAGTTACGTTTGTAAAGCGTTTAGTTTAGTAAAGGTCCGTTGATTTGATTTGATTTGAATGTGCTGTCGACGCTTCTTTTATTTTTTATTTTTCTCTTCTTTTCAATTAAATACATACTCATTCGATTTTTTTACTTTATTTCACTTTAACTAACTATTCAAACTTTCCATTCGTTTCTCAGTTTTTTTTCTTATCATTTTCACACCATTTAAACAAAGACACTTTTGTTATGCTTTAAATAAATTAATGTCTATACTAAAGATAACAAAGATTTTACACCGTCTTCTTACACAACGCAAAGAAAAAGACAAACGTAACATACAGATTTGCATGCATATTTAAGAAAATGATTAATTTTTCTGATTCCTTTTACGAAGAGATTCGTATATATACGTATAATATAGAAATATGAATCTTTTTTTTAATTTAACGTTCTTAATTTTTATAAGCATAAAATTTTGATTTTAATATTTTATATATTTTGTTTTGTTCCTTATAAATTTTAAAAATTGAAAATAATTTATATAACTAGTTGTTCATTTTTGTTAAAAAACAAAACAGTAAAACAGAAAGAGACTCCATAATATACGAAATTGTCATGAAACTATGATAACCAACTTTTTAAAGTTGCATGTGTATTACTTAGATGGATTACCCTTAAAGGGTAAATAAAAATAATAATAGTGTGGGAATAATGATTCCTTTTTGTTTGAGAGCATTGGATCACGTGTTAAGGTGAACATTAACATACGCTTTAATGTATAGTTCACCATGCATTTGCTAAATAAGTGTAATGAAACCTCTTTAATTTCAATTTCACCAACTCGATCGTTTGATAACCCTAATCATTTCCACCTCAAACCTTACATTCAAAGGCCACTTCCCTCTCTCTTTAGGACCCACAACTTGTTGGAAAGGGGGTTCATCACCTTCCTTCTCTAAATCTAAGTCATTTTTTTGACAAATATGTTGAAAAAATTTGTGCATGCATCTACCTCACACTAACATGGAAAAGGGACAAAAATGAAGGTTGGAGAAAAACCTATGACTTTTATATGCTAAAAAGAAAAATAAATTGCAATCGGGTTGGCAAAGACAAATTACGATGTTTATCACATGACATCACATTTTTGTTTTATTTGTTATTATCGCGTCTTTAAAAAATATATAAAAATTGCACTATCCTCACACTTACATTTTATGGGAAAAGAGAAGGGAAAAAAAGTATGATATATTTTGAGATAAAAAATAAATCATATCTAAAAATATTAATTTGTCTCATATGATACATGATTTATGTGATCTTATGTCAACGTTGGCATTAAAAAAAATTAAAATTAATAAAGAGTCGCACTAAACCTTTAATTGTACGTTGTATTATGCCTGTCCAAGACATATAATTAAAACATGACCCTCCTATTAATTCTACAAATGTCAAGAACCTTTTGTAATACATATAATGTTTTTTTAATCGAATATTAATTTAATTTACAAATAATTAACGAATAAAATCAAAATACTTATAATTTACAAAAATTTAAAAATATATTTAAATCTAAATCAATCAATATATACGTTCAATACATGTACTGATTTTTTAAAAACAATATTAATGCATATACTTTCACATTAAATTAAACTTATTTATTTCAAATTAATGATGAAATGCGAACAGCCAACTATTAATTAATGCTTTTGACTCTGACTTAATAAAAATAGTGAAATTTTCATAAATAATAAAAGAAAGACAACAAGTAGTAAAACTAAAAATCGAATAATTTAATTTCTTAACTAAATAATTAATTATTTTTATTTTAAAAAATCAACATACAAAATGGTAAAATAAAATTACATACTTTATTGCTTAACTATCTTTTTTTCACATTCTCATTTTATTATAAATTTAATAAATAGATTAATATTTATGAGCCAATTAAAAAGTTGAATAATAAAATAAAAATTATATATTAAAATTATAAAATATAACAATGTGTTTCTGGTGGAATTTTGATCGATTCAGATTCTTAAGATATTTTGTTCTAACCAAAACTCAACCACGCAAGTTCTTTTTACTTAGGCTAGCAAATGTTTTTTTTTTTTTTTCAATCGAGATGCATATGAGAATAAAAAATATCACAATATCGAGAAAATCCCACTAACGTGTCATGACTTATCGAAAGCACTATTTTTGGTATTTTGTTTTTTGAAATACTCGATGTAAGGAAAACAGTGAAATGACAAATCGAAAAGCAGGATAGAATATAAAGCTGCGAAGAAATATTAAATTTCAGAGAATGTAAAGTACGGAAACCTCGAAATGCATTAAGTGTAAATGACATGAAATCGAAAGCACAGAAACTTAAATTGCATTAAGATAAATGACATGAAATTGAAAGTACGAAACTTAAATGACAGGAAATTGAAATTACGAAATGTAAATGATAAGAAATCGAAATACGTAGAAAAAGTAAATAACTGGAAATCGAATTTGCATCAAAGTTAAAGGACGAGAAATTTAAATGCGAGAAAACTTAACTTCCATCAAAGCTGAAATTGATCGAGAATCGAAAACACGAAACTTAAAGTTGCTAAATATAAAATGCATCAAAGTAAATTACCAGGGAAAATAAAGAAAACGGTAAAGGGAATCAATGAACATGGAAATCCAGATCGCCAGGAACTTCATGATGTTCTTCGTTCTCCGGTAGACTTCTCACTAATATTCCGGTTCTCTCTGCCAATTTTCCATGCTCCCCCCCTCTTTTCCTTTCATCCTTCGCCCTATTTATAGAGCATCCTTTAAGCAAGTAACTTCTTAGGAGCAGCTAATGAAAATTGCTACCACGTCCTATGTGCATGTTGCAGTTTCTTCTTCGGTGTCAAAACTGCACCCACGTTCCCATGATCTTCGACCTCTGTCATGGTTTAAAAACTGTCTTCTCGTTCCCATACATGAGGTAACTGCTTCTTTGACCTTGGACCTTTGCCATCGCTTGTCATGTTTGATGTACACGTCAATTGTTTCTTTCTTTATAACTTAGCCGGGATTTCGATATATGGGTTAAATTTTCTCCGATGTTGATTTTGGAATCTCGAGAACGTTTGGCTTGCCTTTGATTTCTCTTAATCTTAACATTACATAATTCTGATTTCTCGATTTCATTCACTAACGGATATTAAACATTCATCCTTCGATTCTCGATTCAAATTCTCACTTATATTGTCACATGGTCGTCGAACGCATTTTTCAGCTATCTTTCGATTTATCAGTCTTTAACTCAATCAAAAAGGATTCTCGATTTGCTCCCATTTGTTTCTCGATCCCTTTATCGATTTCCCACTAACAAAATGCCCCCTTGGAAGAATATAAATAGTTTCTGTTTATATTCTTTCAACATGATTCCCGCCTTCGCGTGTTGGAGGCCCACAATAACTTAGACTTTAGGGTTTCTGGGGTTTTAGGGTTTCTGGGGTTTCTTTATGCTTTATGTCACCATCACCTCAGTCCGCTGCCCCTTACTGTACACGCCGCATTAATTGCCCTTTGCCTCTATCGTTTACAGTACCCTAGGTAGTTTGCCTTTAAACCTTTCGTTGGTCTTTTACCCTGGTTTTTTACGCGAACTTTTACTCCTTACAATCTTCATCTTCTACCTAGTGTTTCTGTCTTTGAACCTTACTACTTCGCCTTTTGCTCTCTGTTCCTCCATTCTACCAGCTTCTTGAAATGGCAACCTTATCCAAATCTTCTGACTTTTCAGCCCCACCACTTCCCTCGTTGGCCTCTAACCTGCTGGAGATCAACAATCAGAAGTTTGCTCCAGTTCCTCTAATGGAGGAGGCTT